TGCTGGGTCGGGCAGGTTAATCACGTGTAAGTGTAGACGAGATTAGACAAGCGATAAGTTGTCTTAACATAAATTTAACACCTGACTTTAACAACTACAGTTAACATTCACTTTCGAAACAATTTAAATAAAGAACAGTCTCCCTCAACAAGTCTGTAAGACTAAATGACATCATGCTTTGTGTAATGACAGTTTCCTCTATTTCCACTGAATGGGACTAAAACGGCGTTAGTTCCGATTGTGTGATTAATCAGTTTATTATCGACGATCAAGCAACTCCAACAATCTTACTTAACCAAAAGAGTGTACAGTAAAATTACACTTGGACCATACCCCGAAATACACCAAATATCGGAAAACTGAAACCAGAGCGACAAAATTACCAAATCATTGCAAATATGAAACTAGAGTGAAAAAACATCAAAGCATTGCATAACTAAAAGTAGGATTGACATAATACCCGTCTTTATGAAAACCATTAGCATTCAACAATGGTTAAGGCATTTTCGTTCTCAAACTAGATCATCCAAAATAATGACATAGCAATATCACGAGTTCAGCGTAAAATGTTCATTACATTGCAAATACCGATGGCAAACCAAGATATTTCTCTCCCATTCAACATTAAACTGTATGATTTACGAATAAATGAACAAAGTTAAATGAAAACAGATATAAACAAAAGACAACAATTGCAAAATAGCAGGTTCCTAGACATTTTAACAACAGATTGACAAAAGATCACCCATTGACTAGGGTTCGGATAAATAATATAAATTGGAATGCTTATAACTTCTGTTTCGTTACTTCTGTTCAGTCTTAGAAAAACAATATAAGGCATACAGCTCCTACAGTAAACCTTGACCATGACAAAACGTCAAACCTCTACATCTACGTCATAGTTACATTCATCCTCGCACGGACAGCGGGCGTGTGCACGCAATAATGCCAGAAATAGTCCAAAAAGGGAGATGAACATGTCCAATGCGCATTCCTTCGTGTGCAGGATTCGAAATGCCAGAATATGTTTATGTTCGGTTTAAGGAGTTTAAATTTTATGTCAATGACATTTTTGGTTGTTGGAGAGAAAGAATGTCATAAATGGTTCACCTGTCAGCAAACACGAGGCTGATGGGTTGTATGTAGGTCTGATATATGTATTGATGTTGTGTTTGATTAGTGTGGAAAGGTATTGAACTGTACCTACCATAAGTCGTTATTTACTTGAGAGAGATATACTATTCATGAACAAATGTTTTTCTTTTACGAGCTTACTACGAGTCGCAATTTGTATACTTCTTACTTGGTAAATATTACAGAAATACTCATTAACTCACTGTCGCAGTCTTTCTGCAAGCGCCTTATTTGCAGGCTTTTCTAATGGCGGATGGATTTAAAACGTATGTTACATAATCTTGGATACAAATTCAAATTAGGTTTATGATAGCTGTGTAGCTTTAATACAGAAGAAAATACATCAAACAAAGTAAAGATACATCTATTTTCAGTTATGCATAAGACTAAAGTTTGAAAATTACATTTACGTAAATTGTTTCAAGAAATACTCAGGGAAATTTCGTAAGACCTCTTTTGTGCTGCAATTCTAATATATATTGGAACATTATCGAAATGCATTTTAAGCAGAATTATATATCCACATAAACTTTTCATATGTCATAGCCTTGGTGAGTTTCATGAAACATTAATTGTGAATATGATTATAAAACAGTATGTATACAAACAGCAATTGAAACCTGCTTACACAGATAAACACACTCGTTTAAAATATTTCTTATAGTTCGAAGTTTTTGATAACACGGTAAGTGAATAGCACCAAACGTCAAAGCTGTATGACTAATAGTTACCCCTTGGATGGCCCCCACTACGATGATAGTTTGATATGTCTACAATAGCCTATATGCCATCATACACAACCCCCACACAGGTACGGTGCATCAGTTACCGGTCCCAGCTCATTCACATCCTCACTGACAAGTCTGACCTCTGACCCCACCAAACATTCCAAATGCATATAAACTAGGTTTGGCAGCGACGGATGAATTGTCACACCTGTGAAGGGCCCACATAAGGGGGGCTTCACTAGAGTTATATACTTTTTATATTGATTAATACTTAAGTGTGTCACCTGTACAGTTCTTTACATTTTATTTCTTTTATTTCTTAAAAAATACACCGATTTCTTAGCTATGCATTTACTGTATATAATACATAACTCGATATGTATCATTAAATAATAAAATACAACCAATATGTTTCTGTAAGTATGACAACATATAAATGTCAATCAATGATTAACAAATGTATTCATGTAAATCATTGTGTAACTAGTTCACCTCTGAACTATGTAAATACAATATTACATTATCTTTCTGGTTTAATTTTCACAACTTTTGTCAACGTAAAAAGTAAATGTTGACTTTTATATTATAAATATATGTGTGCTCCAAACACGAGATGTATTATTATTTACGAAGAGTAAAACATTTCATATCGTGGTTTTAGCACGAAGCACGAATCTTTATATTTGGGATCAGCCATCTTCTTTGATTCAAGTAAACGTTTCGTTAAAGCAACATTTTGAAACCTTAGTTTCCCTCACGCCACCCCCTCCTCATCACAAGGCTGGGCGTTCTCAGACCTTCCAAAGTCTATGAACCATTAATCTCTGTAACATATCTTTGTTACCAAGGACGCTACCGCATCTTACCACGCAGTACTGGTTATCCCATTAGTTCCCTTATATTTGTATTAAGACATAGCTATAAATGCGACAAACTTTACCAAATGTAATTAAATAAGCATTCCTCATTCTACAATGCTTATCATCATTTAGTTGGTCAAAATACAGATATATTATAAACATTTACATTTTCTTCCATCTCATTTTTTCCTGACAATTTTAACATTTGGAATAAACTTAACCTAAACGATTCTTGTCTTTGCTCTGCTTTATTCACCCCGTTAATATATTTTCAAACAATGAGATGTTGATTCAAAAATTAATGAAATTCTTATTCAAAATTATTTAAACATTCCTATTATAGAAGATAGAAGAAGTCTTCTTCGGTTGTGGTTATAATACCTAATTCAGAAAAGACTACTTCCCTAGAGGTGTCTTTCAGTAAACAAATGTTCTTCTGATGATACGCACTTCCTACTTGATTCTTGCTTTCCTTTTCTCAAATATGCAATGCAATAAAATACAGAAACTGAAATTGAATTTAATTCCACACTCAATTTTTAAAGTATTCATACGAGTAGTAAATAGGTAAAAGGTCGGTCTACCAAGTGATAAAATCTAGAAACTCGACATCTAACAATGAAATGTTTTACTGAAATTTAAAAAGGATGGATTCCGAAGTTAATGACATTCTCCCGACGAATCACTTATTTGGTTTACTCTTCACCCCCACTGAAGGTTTAAGTAATCCATGCACTTTGACATGAGGAACGCAGATGATCATTTATACACGTATCCTTCTGTTTCAGTAGTAGTTTAGACCATATTGGTTAAACACCTTTTTGACACCTAGCTTCACCTATGAGATCTAGAAGGACGAAATAACTGTATGGTGTGTTGTAATTAATTTCTTTTATGTGCAATCACATCTCTGGCCTACGTTCCTCCTTTGCAAGGAAATAAAACTATTAAAACAATCCTATTATAAAATATAGAAGAATTCTTCTTCTTCAGTTGTGGTTATAAATACCTAATTCTGAAAAGACTACTTCCCTAGAAGTGATCTTCAGTAAACAAATGTTCGTCTGATTATACGCAACTGCTACTTGATTCTTGCTTATAAATCGCAGGCTTAAAGTTAATAAAGAACTTTAATTTACTTTCTATTATTAAACAACGACTTAAATTGGGGAGATTTTACAATGAAGCAAAGCAATAGGATACAAAAAATGAAATTGAATTTAATTCCACACACTCATCACACAACGCTGTCATACAAGGAGTACATCGTTAAATGGTTCGTCTACCAAGAGATACAATGTAGACACTGGGCAAAAAAATGGCCTCCTCCTCAAAATCACAAAAAAAATGTAATGGGGGTGGAGGATATGAATTTGGTATTTTAAATGAAGACATTCCTCTGATTCTACAAAGCATCCCACAGAAGTCGCTATTTACGGCCTGGCATCTGTTATCATTCAGGTAACTTCAAAGCAGCGTTATTAAAATTTCAAATTAATTGCTTTCTTTGTATAACTTTATAAATAGAGCAAGACCACGAATAAAGAGCTAAATGCTTTTCTATAGGTAAATCATTAGCGTCACGTGAGTATACCACATAATATAACTCTGTTAACTCCAAAGGAACATTCTGTAAGAGACCTGAACTAGCAACTAGACCTCAAAAGATGAACAGTGAGATTGCATTAACACCTTTTGGATAAAACACTCAGCTAAAATAATCGCTAAAGTAAGGAAGCAACTATTCAAAATATAGCTTGTTTTTGAGGACAGCCAAACAACATGTCACGGCCCATCTGGTAATTTCTCCCATAAAACGTGTTCATAGTGTGGGTAACAAAACAAATGCCTGATAGCAGCCATGAACAAGTCAAGTAAAATAGAGTTATGCCCCTTGTCGGGAACTTTTGTGTGATACAACATGAAGTGGTCCCTGCTGATTGTGCTGTGTTTCTAACGTGAACTACAGGAAGGGCGTTTTAGATTTGTTTGATTTTAAGATACATATTCATATATCGGTGACTTCAGTTGATCATTGGGCTGTTGCACTCGTTGGGTTTCTTTTGACAAAGATAAGCAAATATGTAACATTTCCAAGAGATGCAAGATTGATAGGGATATTTTCCGTATTTTTTTTTAGATATGATAAAAAGAGTCTTTGACTCCTATTTATCACTTCCGGCATATATTTGTGGAATAATAAAAAACAGACAAAAGCATTAACTTAAAGTACCCATATGTAACAATATAGAATAGGGTAACATTATAAAAATCTTACCTGGTGTCTGCGGCTGCGGCTGAGGCTGCGGTCGGGGTTGCGGTCTCGGTGTTGGAGGACGGTTTACGTTAAGAGTTCCAGTGAGATTCGTTATTTCTATGTACTCGACTTGTGGTCGAGGATTCCGAGGAGGACTAATGTTGGTGACAACATTTCCTGATCCGGTTCCTACCGGCGGCTGACGTCTGACATTCTCCCTCCCAAGGTCACCTTCCAGTTCGATCACGATTTCGCTGCCGCCGGTGCCTCGGTCTGGTTGAGGGTTTACCGGGGAACCCCCTCCTGTTATCACATTGATTCCGGAAGATCCAATACCCCCACCGGAAATACCGGGGTTAACTGGTGTAACGTTAATGGGTGGAATAACCGGCCCGACTGCGGTGCGTTCGGTTGGGAGTCCTTCCGTTCTAGGCATCAAGTTAAAAGATTGGAGATATCCTTTCCTAGCATTCCACGTATCCATACGTTCGAATGTAGCGTCCGCATAGCGTTCCCTCACCATGTCCGACAACGACCTACCGACGTACGATTTGCTACTCCACTCCCGAACTTCTTGCTGAGGGGTTCCGAACGACTGGTATCCTCCCTTCTGACCGTCCATATACATAGTCAGTCCTGAAACAGGTCACACACAATACACGTACAATATCTGCTTCATTTTTTTTTATTTTATAATGTAAAAGAAAAATCGTAAAAACATTCCGTTGAAGAGCGGAGGCTGGTCAAAATTTTCTGACCGCGAAATCGAAATATGAACGATTTTATTTGGCCACAAAAAACTCAGGTGAGCTCCGTTCAACGAAAAAGCCCAAGTAGTTATGTTTTAATGCGAACAGATGATGTATACTGAAGTATTGTTCGCAATAAGTCGTGAGGAAGTCATAAGCGAATTAACATCTTCCGCTACTACTGATTTTCAAATATAATTACTGTCAATACTAAACATATCCGCCCCTAAATCTACGACGATAAACCCTAAAGGTATAGTTCGCAAAGTAAAGAGTACTCTAAACTAGAATGACTAATAGTATTCTAACTGACACGTCCTTGACCTTACCTCCTTGATCATGCCACGAGAGCTCCACGAGGTGCCATTCGTTTGGTTCGAACCCAGGTGCCGACACTGTCCAGGACTTGGTCGGTGTCCTGGCCGTGGCGTACAACTTCTCGTCTCGATAGTAAAGCGAGACTGGGAAACTGTCAAAGAAATACATGTTTCCGAGTAACGTTTCCGGTTTCACTGCCATCACCATGGTTATACCTTCCGGGCAGTTCTCGAGATTACCGTTACAGATGAGGTCGTCCCCGAGATCAAGATATTGACCTTTACCGTTGACCCTGATGGCACTACCGTGTTGACCTTGAACCTGGACCGGACCCTCGTGCAGACGAATGGTCCTGGTCGGGAGAACTATGTTGGATGTACCGTTTTGTATCCTGATAACTCGGTCAAATGGAATAACTTCGTGCTTGAGGAATTCTGCAATAAAATTATTAATAGAATCCTGTCCATGCATGTAACCAAATTGCATTTTTTTAATGTGTGTTATTGAAAATATATAAAGATTAAAAATTTGAAAATAATAAATTATCAATACGTTTTTAACCAACAAATTAAGGTTACAATCAACAGATAATAGACGGACAGAGACGTAAAACAAACAAGTTTGGACAAAGACAGATAAAGAGCACAACAAAGCATCGATTTCGAATTCCAGATTCACGGAAGAAATATTTAAAATATAACTAAACATTGCTGTAGCCTAGATCAACAGATTAGGGGAGCAAACTAAAAAAAATGGGTCTATGGGCTTCTTTTTACATGAAAATAACGGACTTTTTGTTTTCATTCGTTTTTCTATAGAATGCTATCTAAACGATCACACATTGACGCCAATTATCTCCCTTCTTTTCATTGATAACGCATAGTCTATGAAGGCGAAGTAAATATATGACCTGTTATAAGACAACTTCATGTTTTGATTATACTTGTTTAATATCCAATTTCGATAATATTTTTATTGTAGTAAACTAGTGAATGAAAGCATGCTACATTCTGTGTAAACTACCCCGTGCTTTTTGAGTTGTTGCTATGGTTAGCGTACCAATTACTACTTCCGGTGGGAGTTTACTCTGCTGATACGACGAGGACAATTATATGAAATACATTGTTTTCATTTTTCAATTTATTTTTTAAAATTCAAAACTCAGTTCACTTAACGTGTTAAAAAGGTGACCGTATCCAATTATGTTATTGCAGGAAAAATATCTATACTTTGCAAACTTTAGGTTAAATTTGAGATGCCAGCATGTCCTCGCCATACCAGCACCTTTCTGACGCTACAGTTATACCCTATTACACAGTACAGGCATTGTCCTGCAACTTTCTAGATTTGATTTTTCGTAGAAAAGAAAAATCAAACCAGACTTCACAAATGTCGCCCCATCTTATTAAGTTGGTATCCAAATACAATAAGGAATCATAGACATAAACAATACCACATTTCTTTCATTTTTTCAGTAAATTATCCCCATTTTGCATCCAAACCAAATACGACGTCCATAGTGTATAGACTGACAGGGCGTTTCCTTCGTTTCTTCAGTATATTGCATTGTTTTTATTACTGCCAGAGGAACTACACCAAAAGAAGGATTATTTGTGAAGAGTGATTGGCTGATCATTGATTTATGTTATTTTATTAATAAATGTATTCATATTTTATTTAGATGTTATTTATGTTATTATATAATCATCAACAAATCGAATCGAGAAAGACGCAGGACAGACCGCATAATACAATTATATAGTAAAATTACAACTAAACATAATAATTTTGACTTTGATTTAGGATATTCAAATTCTATCTACCAAAAGATGCCTTCAATTCTCAGAAATAGCCCGTTTGAAAAACCGAGAGAAAATGTCAAGGAGAATAAGATAAAGTCTACTTTGAATATTAGTTATCATTTTGAAGATTTGTTATATTTTTTATATTAGTTATTACTTGATAGTAAATGTCTGTTATTACTGGAATGACTTTTACATTAAATGTTAATAAAAATGCGTCAAACTGACCGCTTCTGTTCTTGTCATTTTTTACCGGGCACATTTTATCCCCTACCTCCTATCTGTCCGGCTCTCATGACCTGGTCCCTTGGACCATACCAGTACTGTATCTCGTCTACAAGGGCCCTGGTCCGCGCTGGCTCGTCCCTCTGTTCCCGTCCGACGTACACATTTCTGCCAGAGGGCACATCGGCCTGTGACTGGGTCCAGGTGGCAGTGGCGCCCTCTTTGACACCGTCGAGATAAAGTGCAAGACCTTTTTCTGGTGTCCATGACACTTCAACATTGTGCCACCTGTCAGCTTGAAAATTTGGACTGGAAACTTGCCAAGTCTTCCCGTCTGAGTGGAACCTAGCAACGAGTTCGCCATCACGATAGAAGAGCGAGTACGAAGGTGCCGATACGAAGTAAGAGCCATCCACAAGTTCCCTTGATTTTATCCAAAGCGACATCGTCAGTCCGTTCTTACATTGGTTGATATCCGCCAAACACTTGTCGTCTGGGACGCCAAGATCCACGTACTGTCCTGTTCCAGCCAATGAAACTGCGTTGCCGATTTTGCCCGGGACTATCTTGGCGCCATTTGCTAAAGTAACAGTATAGCGGGGGTGACGAACTATGCCGTTTTGTTCGTCCTCCATGGAGAAAGTCTCGTGAGGAATGTTGTCTGTGAGAAATGTGAAAACCCACCAATCATAAACATCCACATGCATGTTAATGAAGAGACAACAAAACTAACACTAAAAGAGGAGCCGACAGGGGGTCATCATTTCCGGACCAGGTCCCGACTTATTCTTTAGGTTCCTAGTTTTACTTCTATCGTTACAAAACTCCTATAATTTCCTATCCCATCAGTCCCCATACGTTCCATCCCATAATCTCAGTCTTTATCTGCCATCTTCTCCTTACACCCCGATCTTTCCCTTCACTTCCGAGTGCATCCTCGTCCCTTTCACCCGGAACCCCCCTGACATATCTCGTGTAGAATACCCCTATGCTCGCTATATTACAACCCGAAATTGTTTCTGGATCCACCATTGATTTCCTGAAGTTGTCATATATCTTAATTCTGAATTTTAATTCCAACCCGATTCTGAAATCCGTAACCCTTTTCTATCTTGTTCTACGTCTTTGTAAATTATCCACTTCCGGTTCCCACCTGTCAACTCCTCCTAAAAGGGGCAGGTTCTATCTAACGGTGGCAGGATCAACTATTATATTTCTTACATACAATTAAGTTCCTGTTCTGATTGATGAAAATGAATGCATTATCGACAAATGACATCAAACGAACGTTAATTTTTAAAGTGTGAAAATATTACATCATCTGATTATTTATTCAATAAGAAAAAAAAAGATCGCTAACGTGACGCTTTTCATTCCTAAAACAAAGTCTTAATCTTCATTTTCAAGAATGGCCGTTTTTAGCTATTTTGACCCTTCATTTTGGAATCGACGTTTCAAAAAAATCATGATATAGTAAAATATTGAATGTTTTTGTGCAAATAAAATACCAGAGTGTAAGAAGTACCAATAGTTTCTTGATTTGAACTCTTAAATGATATTTTTTTCTCAATTTTCCTCATGTAGTTGAACCAACTATTTCTACGTGACATTCAGGGGGATTTAGGTTAGGTGATAAATAAACCATAGAAATACTATATACTACATGATATACAAACGATGAAGGGGCTCACGTAGGCCAAAGGAAACTACCCATCACCAAATGATCATCACAACTATGACGTCACTATATTGTGACGTCATAATAAATGTGTTAATTTTGGAAAGATTAAATAATGAGGTGTAAATCGATTCGGTGATTTTCTATTACAGGAAAACATTTCAAACAAAATAAGTACACTTTGAAATAAAGTTTACTACATGTGAACATGTGAACAAAATGTTAAATTTAGAACATATGAACGCGCGGAAGACAACATGCAGATATAAGGATAAGGTTAAATCTAAAAATGAAAGTGCATCATTAGCATTAGATGAAGACATTTTTCCATTTTGCATATGAAAAATGTCAATTCTTTTACCTTGAAATTGATTTCATGTCATGCTTTAGTTTCCAGTTTTCCCAAAGAAGTAAAGGAAGAAAGACAACTCTAATAAAAAAAAATGAAAAATGGTTTCCAAACCTTTAGTTTTCGAAACTCGTGGTTATTTGTTTCGAAAACATGTGTGATTTAAAATTCATGCAGAGTTAAAATTTTAAGAGAAAGTTTCTCATGGACATTGACTTTGTCAATTTGGAATGTTGGTTAATGAGCTTCGGCATGATAACTTTTTACATGACATAACGTGAGGTATACAGGACTCCAACATACAGTGCTCAAAGCAAATAAAAAATATAAGAAAGACAGGATACGTATGACAATATAAGTACATTTTACACATCAATTTAAGGGCTATACTGCCTAGTTTTAGTTAAGGTTAAAATTAGAAAGTTAAAATTATCAGTAGTTTGATAAACATAACCAAGGGCATACCAGTATAAGTTCTTAGAGCGTAATGGTAGGTTAAACTTCTTGTCAAATATTGAAATCGATTGTGAACGTTACGTTTTCGTTATTCCGTCTTTGCGTTTTGCAGAGTTATCTTCTCTTCTGAGCAGGTATTGATTGTTACGTCATTGGTTTGTGTAAGAAAATTACGTCCTTTTCTCAAAAATTGATGACGTTTCTCTCACAAACCAATGACGTAACAATCAATACCTGCTCACAAGAGAAGATAACTCTGCAATACGCAAAGACGGAATAACATATATGAAAATTGTTTCAGGCTTAAAACTCAAGAAAATCTTAAAATCGTTGATGTTTTTGAAAGCTCAGCAAAGAGTAAAATGACGAGTTAGTTGGAGTATTCCGCTTTTCGTAAAACCGTCGCATATCTAAAATAGTTATTTTTCTCTTTCAACAAAACCATATATGGAAATTGTACAATAAAATTGTTTTCTATTAACAGCCCTTTTTGGTTATATTTTTCAACCGGAAATGTCGTATAAAATGTGGAGGGGTTGGAAAACGTGTCGATGGAAACGATGAGGGTACAAAACGAAAATACAAATGCAAAAATATTAAAGCAGCAGCGAGTGTTTTAGTGACATTACAAGTAACAACGCTACCTACAAAACCGGAAGTGATGTTTCCGCCATGATGGATTTCACTGCTCAACTTCTTAACAAGAGCTTTTAACTAATTCCATTAGAACAACATTGTTACACTAGACTTCCTCCTATGGACTTCTGAAAGGACGAGATATCATGTAAAAATAGAACAAGAAAGTACATGCAAGATGCAAAACACCCAGAGATATAAAGAACAATTCAGAAACGTATGCTACATGGAGGATCCCGAAATGCTACCAAATAACGACAGTTAAAGGATACCGAAATACTACGATCTAATCGACCATGGACATCTGTTCCACAACCCATGAGTTTATTAAACAGTATCGTACTGGAGGATTCGTGTACATGCACGTGTGTGCATCCCTAAGTGTAAGAAAACAACGTGATGACTAATGTCCAAATCATAGTGACTCTCTGTGGTGACTGTCAGGGAACAAGAACGAAGGCTTTCATTGGATATCATTGCCATGTGTCAGAAAAAGAAAAGTAACGACGTAGCGTATTGGACAATGCAGTCATGTGTTCATTATTGTAAAATTTTGGTAGATTGTGGAACAGGTGCCCGCGTCAAGAATCAGATAAATAAATGACAGAGTGGTCTAACAAAAAAAAACTATACAAAATATGGTTGTATTTCAAATTCCATGGATATACTTAATATTTAAACATAAAGGTATTACGTGATGTACTTATCGAATTGTTCATGACCGAAACAAATGTAAAAGGTATGACTTTTAATCTCGTGATATTTGTTTATAATTTGACTGACCACCCTGTAACGACAGAACCTTGCCACTAATATCGTTCCATGCAAACAGTAGAAGTAAATATAACAACACCGCTCCCCTTCTTCGCGACATGCACTGGCGTCAAAAATGTCGAAATGAACTTCTATCTATAAAACTCTTCTACTAACGACTAGTTTAAAACTTCATAAATCATCTTCATAAATATTCTTTTGAGATTCAACTCCATTCCACAACATCTACTAGGCATGCTAAGGTCAAATCATTCGCTAAACCACATCTCATAAACTAACTATATGCAAATTTCGCCGAACAGAATACTGACCAATCAGCTAGCCCGACTACCACTATAGCGCCACCTGACGGCAATATCAATGCGCGATATGAAAAAGTTTATGTCCGAATCTACACACAACATGGTGACGTCACAACAGACATACAAAAACAACGTACAACGAATCAGACACGTGATTAATAACATAAATACAAGCGTTTCAGCAACAATGAGCAAATGTGAAGCGCATGCGCAAGGAGTGTTTAAAGTACACACTGCCAATATGTTTGTTATGTAAACAAAACAGTATGTAAATGACAAACAACATCGAGAGTTTGGACATGGCAGCACAGAATGGAAAATGTTTACTTACATATTTACACATGTTCAATTACATATCATTTTATCAAAATATACATTTATTAGTTTGTTTAGAAACAAACAAAATATATATATTATTCTCAATTTCACTGCAGCAACACTTCAACGTGTCCTATCGAGGCTAACCGGATGATACAAAAAAATCATAAATCTTGTCTGATGTTTATATCCATAACAAACAAAATCAAATGGAAACATGTACGATAGACATTACAGGAAAACTTTTTTTTGTTCTGGGAAATTTTGACATATTACTTTGTGATATATCGGTGAGACGTTGGAAGGAGTAATTTATATAAAATAGAAGTGGACATGGGAACTATGATGGGTGGTAAATGAAGAGCTTATTATCAGAGTTTCAATGTATGTATGTAGACGAGGAGAATTCTATCGAGATTTCAAAGTTTGAATTTTACAACTAAACTGGCTTACTTCAGAACTTGTTACAGCATCCACGATTTTGTTTAAAGATATACACTCCCGATGAAGTAACTTGATTTGTGCTGTTTTGAAAGACTTACAAATGTACTGAAAACAAATTTTATTTTGAATTATAAAACTGTTATTATTTTTGTCAAAATATTGAATAAAAAAACCAAACTCTACTCATCTCATCAAAATACATAGTGTCGGTAATACCTAAGTTAGACTTTCGAAATGAAATATTTCATCCTAAACAAAGTGTGACTTACCCCGTAAGAGGTAATTAAAGGCCAGTAACTCTTCCCTCCTGGCGAACCAAATCTCCATCTCATCTATAGTCATTCTGGCGTCGTTGACATTATCGGTGGAGTCGCCATTATTTGCCCTTCCCACATAGAAGTTAGGAACGGAGGTAGCGACCTCTATCGGTACGTTTGTGTAACGAGATTTGGCCACGAGAGTGTTGTTTACATATACGGAGAGTCCGTGATCCGGATGCCAGGACATCTCCATGTGATTCCACGTTTCCGGTTCCACACGTGGGAAGTTCACCTCCCAGTGTTTGCCATCCTGGTCTACGGTGACGTAAATATTACCCTCTTTATGGAACATGCGCAGACCGTTTTTTCCGGTGGACATAATATACATGTTTTCAAAGAAGGCCTGGAAGTTCATCCACGCTCCAATGGTTATACCGTTCGGACATTTTTCCAAGTTTCCGAGACAAGAGCCTTGGTTTTGGCCAATGTCCAAATACTGACCGAAGCCGTTAAGTTTCAGTGCCCTTCCCACAACTCCCGGAACCTGTCCAGGGGAGCCCACTGTGGGTAGGTAGAGTTCGGAGTGTAAAAGTTTCCCACGGCGCATGTTCTGGAAATCGATCAAGTAGCTAGTTGGCTTTCCTGAAGGGATGACAACAAATAAGAGATATAACGAGGCATTTCATTGGTTAATATTGTTATGTGTTTGACATGATTAAAGTAACAACATTTATCATTGGATTGTGAAGTCGTGCGATAAACCATAGATTACAGTAAATCGACAGAACAGTCTATATATGTATTCTTTTAATATAAATACATGATTTTAACTTCTGACTTAAAGAATTTCTTTGTTAATAAATCAATAATAAAAATAGCGTGAATATTGGGAGCTCATAAAATTAGGTAAAATAAATAAGAATGCTTATCAAATGAGAGATTTTCATATCACATTTCAGTTTTTGAGACAGAAGTTTTGGACTGTGGACTTGGTGAACGATTCAATTTAAAACATTACCTTTTTGCAGATACCCAAAAGCCGTTAGATAGTCACGAGGCCCGTACCAATACGCCAGTTCATCGAATGTGCCTTTCCCATACTGCCCGTCCTCCATATAAACGTTTCCGCGGCCCAGATATATCTTGTTCTGAAGAGCGCTTTCAATTAAACTTTCCGGAAGTGGATCCGTTCTTTTTGATGGATCCTTGTCCTTAGCAACAGGAACTTCGTCAACAAAAACTTCTAATCCAGTTTCAGGATCCCAGGAAATTTCAAGGAAATACCATGTTCCCGGCACAAGTACATCTGTTGACGCTTCCCACATTCTGGTCGATGTCCCGGCCGTGACCTTCAGATTTCTCCTCGTGTTACTCAAAGTTAACCCGTTATGGCCGCTGGTGAAAAAATACATATTATTTCTGAAAGTTGTTGGTCTAAACCAAAGCGAGGTATATATGCCATGGTGACAAAAGTCTAAGTTTCCAAAACACTCGAAAGATTTTTCACCAAAGTCGACCACCTGCTGTTCGCCGTTTAATTTGATGGCTTTCCCGATTTTCCCGGAGACGAGTTTAGGTCGATTGAAGGTTTCCACGAGGAGTGTCGGATGTATTAGACGATCTCCTAGCATCGAATCCATACTGAATTGGTAATTGTCGGGCTTTCCTGAAATATATCCATTTATTGATTAATTAAACGATTAACATGAAAAAATCATATTTTCATAGAATACAACACAAAAGTAAAATTAACCAGCATCTTGATTTATTGAATCACACTGGTACAAACTTGAGGAACCTCATTGTATTAACACTTATGTTTCTGTCTACGTCAGAACTTCGTTAGTTCGGACAATTTATTTTAAATAACATTCAAAACTTCGTTAATCCGGAAACTCAATTCCTTTGCATATATTATATACAGAGGAAAGTTTTGTTAATGGTGGGTTTAATAAAAAAAAATCTTTAAGAAACTTCAGGAAAAAACCCTTTCGAAACAAAACAAAAATAATACTAAAGAAAAAAAAGATTGGGTTCAATTGTATTGGGCGGGCTACCAACCGGCACCTATTCAAGAGCGCGATCCCACTACTGTCCGACACGGGGACTTCTGCCTGCTGTGTTTCCACCCTGGGCCGATTCGTCCCTCCTTAGACAACCTGGTCACTCTGGGCTCCCCCAAAGTGGCTATATTGATACCGGACTTAGCGCGGACGCCCTATCGACACAGAGCACCGGAGGGTAGAACCCCCACCCTCAAACCGTCCTCCAACCTCGGCCTCCAAGTAACTGGATTACAGGAGCACGCCACAACTCCCAGCCGAGAGACGTCTGTACAAAATAGTCTTATAAACCTACCATCGTCAATATGCAAATTAAAATAAAATCGAGCATCAACAAATGTTGTTATTATCATTTTATTTTGTAAAATTTATATGAATAAAGAGATAAATTTTACAACGTTCAAATTGAAATCAATAATATAAATAACAAACATGCCGTGAAATGCCACGTCTCACATTATCGGTGAACTTTGACCTCTAGACCATACGTGCTGTATTCTACTGCACATGTGCCCTGCGGATATTACGTGACCAGACAGTATATATATCAATAAAATGCTTGCAGCCATGAGATTCTAGCATTTGTCATTTAGTCTCAAGACGGTGATATGCAGATGATATTTGGATGTAAACAAACAACAAAATATTGACACTAATCGAGACTAGTTCACTCATTAAATTGCATTTTCTACATAAAATTATATAAAAATAAAAATAAATCAATATTAAGCCAGAGTAAGGTACAGTCAGCCCTACAAATTCATACTGTCGTTATTGAAGGGATTGGTTTAATCATAACCGTTTCCATTTTATATCCTTTTCCTTGAGTTCTGAAATATGACAGAATGAATGACAACGGAATCCCTAAGCGTTCATGACGTCTGCGTGTATAGAGCCATATGGCGTACGTACAGGTGTGTACCGACTGAGGTTGTGACGTGGCAGACACAAGGAAAAATCGATTTCAATTTAAACGTTTTCAAATGAAATCTCTTTTTAAAACGGTACAATTTATTGTACAGTAGTGTAAGTTAACTAATTGTATTTGTAAATTCTGTAAATTTGTAACATGAAAAACGATGGTAGGTTTATAAGACTATTTTGTACAGACGTCTCTCGGCTGGGAGTTGTGGCGTGCTCCTGTAATCCAGGTACTTGGAGGCCGAGGTTGGAGGACGGTTTGAGGGTGGGGGTTCTACCCTCCGGTGCTCTGTGTCGATAGGGCGTCCGCGCTAAGTCCGGTATCAATATGGCCACTTTGGGGGAGCCCAGAGTGACCAGGTTGTCTAAGGAGGGACGAATCGGCCCAGGGTGGAAACACAGCAGGCAGAAGTCCCCGTGTCGGACAGTAGTGGGATCGCGCCCTTGAATAGGTGCCGGTTGGTAGCCCGCCCAATACAATTGAACCCAATCTTTTTTTCTTTGTTTTTATTTATCTAAATATTTATTGAATTTATTAGCATTTCAAGATAATATTTTCGCAATATATATCGGACAAGGCACTTTGCCATTCAAATAAAGAATTGTCGTTCCTTTCACTTATGTGCACCTGTAGTATGCCAATGGTTAGATGTGTAGACACTAGAAAAACCAAAACTGAAATTTGACTAATTACAACTTTTTAAATTAGAAGCTTCATTATGTTTTCAATTTATTCAATTTATTTTTTTACCAAATGCACATTGCATATAGGCGTACAGAAATATACATATAGATAAATACATTACAAATATCTTGTACAATGGCGGAGAACATATGCAATAGATTCAATTCCATACATAATATTTACAAATTCATGAAATAGTCATAAGTTGGGGAAAACTTTAAGGTTTTCCTAAGGTAACTTAGCGGACTCTTATGAAGCATAATTTAGTTGTTTATGAAATAATACAAATAAAGCTTTAATCTAACCAAATTTCTAGGAAATAACAAAACTTCAAAGTCAATCATACAACCTCAACATGAAGGTAGAACGATTACTACATATTATATAATGGAATGAGATTATAACTCATTTTGAAGTAAAAGACATACAAGTTTTATTATATCCAAATGCAATACAGCATATAGGTAGCATAGATCTCAATCGCATTATACAGTAACAAAACGTTTATTTCATAATATATGACTTCTCTTAACAGTTGATTGAATCAAGTACTTACTTAAATTTCTAATAAGTTTATTTTTTTGCTAGCCAGTAGCTCTATTAATTTAACAATGTATGGTTACAAAATTGTAATCATTTCCTGTGAAAACAACTAGATTAAGAATATTTCTTGAAAACAAATGATAAAGAACAAAATGTCAATTTGGCCAAAAACAATCCTGATGGGTATTACAAATATTTCTTTAATATATCTGAGTGAAATTATGGCAAATAAAATACCAATATATAAATTTTAAATCAAATCGAAAATTTGTATAATTCTGAAATCTTACCTCTCTGAATAAGGTCGAGATGAAGTAGGGAGAATCGGTCCCCATAATGCATCTCGACTTCATCAATGGCGGCATTTGGGTACCTCATAGCCGTCATGCCAGATCCGGCTCGACCAATGAGAAAGTTTTCTTGTGTTGGAACCGATCCGTCCCGTGAATCAGGTGTGGGTTGGCTAGAGACCATCTCCAGATCTAGGTACAAGTATAATCCAATTTTAGGAGACCATGTGACTTCAATAAAATGCCACTTGTCATGTTTTAATCCGTAAAAACTATCGGACCACGTTTCCTTTCCATTTGATACCTCAGCGTGCAAATTTCCCCCTCGAGAGAAAATCTTCAACCCTCTAGGTCCGCTGGAGAAATAAGGAATATCGCCTGTTAATGACTTGAACTCGATCCAGAAAGAAATTGTAAATCCGTATAAACATTTTGTGACGTCACCCAAACATGTGTTCGCAAAGTCTTCGATCGTGACATAACCACCATCGCCATAAAAGGTCAAAGCGTTTCCTATTTTCCCAGGTGTCAAGGCCACGTTCCCATTTATATCCGTGTACGCGTTATTAACGATGAGCTCGTCTCCGATTCTTTCCTCCATTGAAAAGTAATACCGGTACATCGGTCCTACAATAAAGAACAGAATTTGTTACTGTTTGTTTTGTGCTCAGTCTTAGGAATGGTCAAAACCTGAAAGTGTAAGTAATCGTTTGATATCTCACACTGAAGCGAAAATTAACATTTAATCATCACGATACTATATATATATTATTATTATTATCAGGTTATATATTTCGCATTTGATTTCGGTGTCATTTCACCAAATGTGACGTCATGAAATCAGTATAATGACGTCATAGACTTCCAAATTCAATAGCATGATGTAACAACCATGCAGACAAAAGATATAGATTGCAGGATTCAAATTCAAGAATGGCATAGAAAAATGTGTGTTCGCAAAATTTGATCGTGTGATAAAAAGGAACTTCATGAAAGTTACCCGGTTCTTTCTTGAATTTCCATTTTATATTGAATTTATGAAACTCTTCTGCCAAAATGATTCTTTTTTTTGTTATACCCTGTTCATAAATTTCATTTGAATGGAAACTAATGCAATGTATATTAAATATCATTGTTAAAATTATCATAAAATGCACAAACACATCTATCTGCGTTTAGGTGTCAATAACTCTAAGGTAAATCAGCTTCTAGGAATGTCCTATTACACCACGCCCATGCTCACCGATCTCCTTGATTTCCTCTTCCGTTTTGAAATCAGACCAGAACTTGAGTTCGTCCACAATGAAACTGTCAAGGTTGCCCTGCGCATGTCCGACAATGAAGTTGTTGTTTGTACGTGATATTGCGGCAGCCCTGGTAACAAAATAGCGATCGATATAAAAGTATGCAGATACAATTGTAAAATGCCATTGGAGGTGCTGTACGTTATGTTTATAGTCTACATTGACAGTCATCCGATAACCCTTGTACTATCTACTATACCGTTATAGAAGTCAAAACCACAGTTCTTGGTGAAATATAACTCCGCGGTTACTTCAATCGCCTTTTTCAAACATTTGACCACATTGGTATTGTCTGTCGATATTTCAATTTCCTTTACAATGTAATATGAAACATTTGTGCGTTTTTTTCTGAAAATCTCGTTTTACGTATCGTATTGAATATTGAAATCGATGGTGTAGTTCATGTTTTGTTTTGTTTGTAGTATAGAAAGACAAACTTTTCTTAATCTCAGCTGAAATTATCGCCTCATAACCCGACCGAAATAGAAAAAAACAACAACAGATATGCAGGTTTTTTTTGTGACGTCATGGGACATGAGCGTCACCAGAGAGAGGACATTTAAAGAGAGTTAAGAGAAAAGTCTAGATACCTTCCGAAAGACAGCAGATTAAATTCGTCTCTTTATTGTACCTTATCCATAATACCCAAAAGAAACCCTCCTAATTCCATCTTAGGCAAATACTATTTTGGCTACGGGGCACCTCACTTACAGTTTATTTGGCTACACGTTTATTACCTTTGCTGGGGGTTCGGACTTTTGTTTACAGGTTCGCCGTTCAGGAAGAGACTGAGGCCTTCATTCTCTTTCCACGTGACTGACACGTGATACCATTTATCAGACAAAACGTTGTCAGACTTGACAATCCATGTCTGGCCATTTTTCTTCTTGAAGATGAACTCGAGAAGACCTTTTTTGTAGGTCATGGCGATCCCGTGCGACTCAGCGTCATGACCGCCGTTCGTCATGTAAACCCCTTTGGTGTTGCCCGCGTTTTTAAAGTGGACCCACAAACCGAGGGTGTAACCTAGAATACAAGAAGGCAATTTATTTTTAACACCTTACATAATATCTCAACGAGTAGGTGATACCATTCGGAAAAACATTGTCCAGTTATTGTGTTGTCGGGTAAAGCCAACTTAACGGGAATAGTTCGTTTTAGTGTATTTTATGAAAATTTGAATTAAATGTTGAGGGATTTAAAATATCTTATACAGACAAGAAACATAAAAAAGCACCAGTAAAATAATTTTCAAAAAGAATAATTCTAAAAATGTGATAAACAAATCCCTAAGATATTTCAAACATTTGGAACAATATGGACCTCACTAGTCAACTATAAGACAAACTGTGTGAATCTCTCAAACAGAGAATCCTAACTTTGCAGTGCAATTGTAAATACAACGAATATCAACAAAATGTCAGCAAGGGGAATATATTGGCATGTTTAAGCGAAATGATATGTTTTCTACAATAGAATATGTTTTAAAAATTGAAAATGACGACAAGGTCACCAACCTACCTTTTGAACAGAGTTCAAGGTCACCGAAGCACTCGTAGCGATGTCCGGGGCCACTGACCTGTATCCACTGGCCTCGATCTAGGACCAGCGCCTTATTTAGGGCTCCTCGGGTGAGGGTGGGGTTACCATACACACGCGCATCAAGTCCGGAGGGGTTCACCAAGGAGGTTCCGTCAAGGGCGTCCATCGGCAAGTGGTAATATGCTAAAACAGAACAACATTCGTTTTAGAACCAAAAGCACTACACAAAAATATACCAAAGTTTTATATTGGTGAAACAATAGTTAATACATTGGGTAACAAAGACCAGGAACTGATAATGTTAACATGCCATCAAAGTCATTATCTTTAGATTAATAATACTATTTATACATAACATTGGTATGATTAAATAAGATACAAGCAGTATTCACTAAACTTGATATTAGTATCGAATTGAGCAAAGAAAAAACTCTACGTTCACTATAACACAAGGGACGTAACTCTAACATCATAGGTCAATTATATGTAGGTAGAAGGGCAATAACTCGTCCTGACTCGAAGATAATGAACTCAATGCGCTATATATTTGGTAGACACTTGTTGTAAGTGAGGATGCAAATTAATTGCCATTCACAGAAGTTCAAAGTGCCCATTAATTCATCTCCGCCTTTCAATTTTGAAAAATCTGTGAAAATTGCGGCAAAAAACGACTGAAATAACTTGATGGAATGTAAAGGAGAGAGCTTAAAGCCATAACCACGTGATGGAACACTGACTTTTCTCAACCGTTTTACAGGAAAACGCGACGAGCATTTAGATTTTAATTCACGGGGAATGCATTTGGAATATTATCATCCAATCCTTAAAAAGACAACGAGAATCTCGACTCCAGGATTATATTTAGTCATCTTTAAAATATCAAGTTCTAATTATACGTCACTACTGTGTGAGAATCCGTCATGATTAAATTGTGATTATAGTGCTATTTTTGTAGTCTGCATTATCTTTTCACGAATACATTTTTTACCAAACAGTGATAAACACGGAATTTGAGATACGCAAAATGCATGTGTAAGTGAGATAAAAAAAAATGTAATTCTATATTCGCTGCCTAGAGTCAGCTTTGATATCTGTCTGTGCATTGTCAGCTTGACGAAGACTTTTCGTACAATAGCTGTACCAATAATCATGGCTTACTCCGATATGTGGAGTTATTGCTTTATTGAATATTTTGTAACTTAAATGTCCACAGACACAAGAGTATTTGATCGTCAAAAGTTTAACCTCATTGCACACTTATTAACTATCAAATCATATAAGTTTGTTGTAAATACGTTCATCTGTTTCGGTTTTAACAATAAAATGTCGTGAAGCTAACAAAGCTTAGTAAACCTGTTTTTAGAATTGAAGATTTAATTGAAAGACCTATATATCATTAATACGATATTGAATATAACATTTATTCGTTGATTTTTTATTTTCTTATGTATGATCAGTGACCGCTGACTAGGTTTTGACCAAGCAGTACGACCTTCACGCCATGAAGAACTCGACCTGTCTGCGCCCTATGCACTATCAGTACAAGTGACAGTTATGTGAAAACACGTCTTGGAAGATGCGATAATGGAGTGAGTCCATTAAAAGGTTATTTCTGATAGAGACTCTTAGCTACTGGTTTACGGCGGGCCATTTCCATTCTCCAGTAGGTGTTTGTAATCAACACAGTCTCCTGGTGTTGGGTGACCCGTCTTCAGCACAGGGGCTTAATGTAGGTGATACAAAACTTCTCTACCACAGGGATTTGATGATGGTGATACATATGCACTACCCTTTTTCACCATAGGGGCATATGTAGGTGATACAAATGAATTCCCTTCTTAACCTCTGGGGTTTGGTGTAGGTTACCCTCTGTCACACAGGGGCCTGATGTAGGTGATACAACTTCATCACAGGGGTCTGATTAAATATTTAAATATATTTTAAATCCCAACATCCTCTCCTTAGTCCTAACATTTATCATGACACACATATATTTCGTAAAATGCGATAAATTCGTGCAAATTCGCGCAATGACTCGATCGCAAAATCTCGCAAATATTTATCAAGACATATGTGACAATGGATGAAGTTTTTAGTATTTCTTTTGCAAATTAAAACCTCACAATAGTCATTCAAAGGGGAATCGCCAAAAATCAGTGTCATTGCAAAGGGATAAGTCTAGATTCTACAACTCACTATTTTTTCGCGGATGTGTATACATTCTCGCGATAGTTTCGCGGTAGTTCTTTTATATATGAAAATGAAAATACGGTGATGTTGTATGATATATCACAATACCGACATGGTAACATCATTGTAATAACTATAATCTGTATTTTACTTCATCTAATGCGCGGCAATTTCATTAATTACGATTGATTGATTGACTGATTGATTGACTGACTTACTGATTGAGTAAGTGAGTGTGTGAGTAAGTGGGTCGGTGAGTGATCGATCAATCGATTTTATTGACTAACTTGCGAAGATTTGAATTAACAAAAGAAGTGCACACTATGCCTTACAATTATAATTTACTCCTGGTTCATTTGAATTAGGATAAATGAATATTTTCGAAATAATTTGCATACAAGGTTTGAGAGAAATCTGTATCTAAAAATATTTCTAAACACTTAATCTTATAGGAATTATTTCGACTCCATGGCAATATAATACACCGTAATGTAAAATAGCCGAGTTTGTAAGTACAGTCGTGTCTACACCAGCAGATTGTTTTTTTTAAGTTCCTTGAAACTTGAATCATGTCATATCATTTAAGTGTCCCATAACATCTCTCGTCAAAACCGGTATTTCAAGAATTTCTGAAGCCATTTCAAATGTAGACTGGTCAAAGTAATCGCTGCCTCACTGTAAATTTTACCGAGTCTGCATTTCAATGGGAAACTGTCTTTCCCAAGTACACATGTCGTAACCAATTTATCAGACCGTTATCCGACTTCTCTAGTTTACACTAAAATGTTAGCACGCAATGCACGTGCACATCTGTTTCTCGTTAGAATGAAATACATGCACTTCTTTAAAGTTTAAGTGATAAGACAAATTATCCGAAACTGAAGTATAACTGTTTCAAACTAATGACAGTTTAAAGGATTTCGAAAGCTTAAAAACATTTAAAACACTAGAAAACTGTTAGCTGGCAACTGTTTGTCAAATCAACAGTCAACATTGATATTCGTATTTGAACATGATCGTACAGGTGCAAACTTACGTCATACCGGTAACGTCACATGACTTTGACGAATATGAGTCGACTTTTCCAAGCACCTTAAGGGGTCATTTGACGAGATTTTAAGATACTCGTTCTGATATCTATGAAATAAAGCAATTGTAAAATAAACAAGTTCTAAATGACACGGGGACCGTTAAAAAGAACCCTAACTACTCCTGTAGTCGCAAATGGTGCGATTAGCAGAATTAGCATTGCCATACATACTAAGTGGAAGTAAAATCAGATAAGAGTGAGGGGCCGTTGGCTTCACCTTGGCGTCCAACCATAAATGTATCAAACAAATATAGGTCACGGCGGCCATGTCTGATGACCAATCGGAAACTCCGGAAACCATTTCACAAAAGAAGAAGAAGAAGAAAGAAGAAGAAACGCAGCGAAATTAAAAAGTCAATAAATAGCAAAGATTTTAAGCACGCATTCATCAATCTATGCTTGATCAGTTGTGTATTTACCTGTAATCAGAGTCAAATCACCAGGTGCAATTGCGAGCAATGACTCACGTGCACTCGATACCGACAGTCAGTATGGAAACTATAGTTCGTAGTTGTATTTAACAATGAGCGATGAGTAACATTAGACTTATATACCTTAACTTACTGGTATATTTTGTTTTGACTGTATAGTTTATTTCTAGTACAAGATCGGTTGTGATACTCTAAACCAGACACAAAATTTAAAAACAACACACGTTTACTGTCTAACACTCACAAAATTACTCAATATATAGTGTTGCTACAAAAAAAGAAGGAAACTTCATGAATAAAGCGTTCGTTTTTCATATATTTTTCGATAAAAGTTCTATACTCTAGAATTTCCGTAAAAGTAACCTGACCGAGCTTTTGTCAGAAGAGATACCTCGCACCTGTTAAATGTTACCTACCACTATACACACACGCCAATAATTTACACTGATACCCAAATACATTTTCATGTTTGTTTCTTTTCTAATTTAAAGCAAACGTTTGCTACCCCTGAGGTCTGGAGCCCCTCCCTACAATTACAGAGAATGCACCTTCTCGTTGCGTTTCATCTCAGACTTAAATGTCTTTCAACGCGTTAAATACTTTGGTAAGCATGCAATCTTTAATAAATTGGAAACCATAATAGCTTGATAAACCTTTGATAAGGTGTTATTGGCAAATTCTCAGAATTTAATTTTTATTTGTAATATCTTTTTGTATGAGCAGCCGATTAGGGTGATTCATGTTACCCAGTGGGCGGACAAGCCTATCCCATTGAACTATTATGTAACTTTGTAAATTGAGTGTAGAATTATGTAGAACAAATTACAACATCAATTTTTCTCGTATCACTATTTACTTTAGGTCAAATGCTCATCAGTAAAACTTACAGTGAAAATATACCCAAATTTATCGAGTCATCTAGCGGCTTTTTCCTTTAATACTTTCACGATGCTCTAAATCAAGAAATGATTTGAGAGGATCCACTTATATGCTTTAAAAAGTTACATACTTTTATTTCGCTCGCCTTCCTCATATATTTACTAACCATGCTTCAGAATTTAAAGTTACGACCATTTGTGTATTTAATGAACCAACTATTATGAACGTTTAATTATTAAAGTTTATTCATTTTACAACAATTGCGAAACAAATTTATAAACTTATACAAATAAGTCTTATTAGCCCGGATGATAATTGCGCAGGGGGTCTAAATGTACATAGGAAACTGGAGTACTCGGAGAAATTCTACGTGGTCGTCGGGTAATTATCACTCCATACCTTTCCATGTCCGATCGGGGAATCGAACCCAGGCCGTCTTGGTGAACGGCGGGTGCGCCACCCGATCGCCCATTATGAACATTAGGCACTAAAGTTGAGGACCTATCCCTTGTACCTCGGCAATAATAATTAAACTAGCAATCCATACACACATCAGTCAATTTTAAAATATCAACATTATATTACACATCCCC